GAGGTGCATTTTATTTTTACAATAATATGTTTCAGTTTATTTATGCATTACCTGATTTTTCTTGATCAATTTTTGTAAATAAATATTGCTTTAAATGATTTTGCAGATATAACAAAAACTCCAACGAATTTAAATAGTACTAACACAATCTTAGACAGGAATATTAACACGGATGTTTTTGATACAACAGGTATAAAGTATATAATTCAAAAAATAAAAACAAATAATCCTTGATTTTTGAAATTTATTTGTAAAATATATCATTCATAACATTTTATAATCTAACAACTATTTAAAGGTGACTTAAGTTCAACAGCCGACTCCCAAGTAATGGAGGATATCGCTACCCTTAGTGCAGTAAATCCCCTAAGCACAGAGACTACATTTACCAGAGGTATTTGCTGTAGATATTCAAAAGTGGCTGACTCTGAAGTAAAAGCTACATTTTGTTGATTCAATCAGTTTAAATAGCATGAACGAAAAGGAACTTAAAAAGAGTTGATCATACATCTTTTTTCTTCATACATAAAGTTAATTTTACCGGTAATACAAAAATTTCGTACTTAATATCTTTGAATTAATTGATGCCTAAAAGAAGTAAAATTAGGCGGCACCAGGAACTTCCTTCTATGGCATTTCTTATTTAATACACAGGTATGTAAATTTTGTCCGATAAAACAAAACATAAGATTTGTGACTGTCTACAGAAAATTCAATATGATAAAATTAAGGCGTTACTGATAGTTATTCCTATATTTATTCAAAGAGAAACCAGTCTCACCCAATTGCCGATTTCCGGGAGTATTGTATAGAGGAACCAAAAACGTAACTTTAACCGGACGGGTGTGTCAGACTTGGGCTAAGCAGAGTCCACATAAACACAACTATGATGCATTCAGTCTTGCTCAAGAGAACTACTGCCGAAATTTTGATCGAGAGGAGCCATGGTGCTACACCAATGACCCGGATGTACGATGGGAGCTCTGTGGTGTAAATTTTTGTGGTTAGTTTTGAAATTCATAAAATTCATTTGCTGTCGTTGCACTTAAAATCTACGGTAGAAAAGAATATTTATTTTTTGTGAATTTCAGGTCAAAACTATAAAAGACCTTTCCTTATCGTTTCAGTGACTCCTTGTCTTTACCACTCATTTTATAGCAGTGATGATATGAACCAATGTTACTCGGACCATATTCAACAGGTGGACTGTACGTAAGTGACTCTGCCCTTAACTGAGAAAAAGAATAATCAATATTTTTAACTGTAAATAATAATATTGATAAAACCAAAGCCTCTTCATAAAATATATTGAATTCAACTAGTTTCTTTTTCTTTAATCTACCAAACAAAAGACATTGGCTATACGCACCGAATTATGTCTCCTATAGGTCAATAAAGAAAGTGAAATATTTAAACTCAACTATTATATGATTTCTTTGGAATAACCAGTAAAATCAATGAAAGTAGTAAATTTCGTAATATTAATAACGCTATATGCTACAATCTAAATTTTATTGAATGTAGCAAATCTGAAAAAAGAAGAGTACACACTCAAAAGAAGTCACATCTGAACTATTCATGATCTAAAACATCTTTTTATTTAAAGTGGAACTAGCTCCATTTAAGATTTATTTTTAAAATTTGTGCGATCTTTAGTATAACGAAATCATGAAGCGAGCAATAAAGGTACAATTTTATGGTAAGGCATTCGTACATTTGCTGAAAATATATCACGTTTTTCAAGGGACAATTCAAACACAAGATGAAAAATGTCTATATTTTCCAAGCGCTGCATGGCTAAGAAAATATTATCAACTGAATTCAGTCCCCATTGATTTACATGTATTTTTCTTCCCGTTTACCATAAAGTATTTTTGTCGGAAGAGTTTTGTAACAGTTTCATACCGTATTAATTGAGCAAAAAGTGGCATTAATTAGACATTTAGCTGAGAATTTAAATCAAAATCTGAGTTGAGTAAAAAAACAAAAAGGTTTTGTTATTTACAAATTATTTATCATGTTTATTTTTCATATAAACATTAATTATACTAAAAGCCATCTGTTTTGGTAAAATTGTTTAAAATACAGCTTAAAAACATTTTAACTCAACATCTTTTTGTGAACTAATTAATTAAAATGTATATTTTTGAAATAAAGATATTGCAACTAAAGAAAGTTGTAAGCGAAAAAAAAATATAAAGAAGAAGATGGGTGAACAAGGCGTGCAGAATGCCTATAGCTTCAGATATCAAAAAAATCATATTCAAATTTGTGAATTAAGTATTTAAAGTAAAGTTCTCAGTATTGAAATTTATGAAATTATGATCAACAAAACTTTTCTGAGAGAAAAAGATCTCGGAAAAAATTCTTTTATTAAAAAAATAAAATGGTATTTGTGGAATTCGAACCCTTAACAATAAAAATCCGGGGTATCTTATTGCTTTGAGACTAACACGCTAACCACTACACTACACAGCTCCTGATGAATAGTGGCATTTAAATCATGTTTGTGATATGACCCTTGACTTAATGGACTTTCCGAGAAGTATTTCTCGGAAAGATGCGAATGCATTGTCATAAAAGTGTACTTTTAAGATTTAGTGGGTCTTTGCTCCATGTTTTTGTAAACCAAAAAATGTATATTTTTATGCAAACTTTAAGGATTAAATTTCAAAAAAAATGGAGCGAAGACCCACTCATATCGAAAAATTTTGTTAAAGTGTGAGAAAATGATCCTTTTTGTCCTCTTTAGTGTGTGTAAGCTATTTCGTAGGCAAATAATTTCAGCCTTTGTGAGATTTTTGTAAATTGTAGAGATTTTACATTAAGTATACTTTAATGTAAGATGAAATATCAAAGAAAATTTTGATATAATTGAGATTTTATTTTTCACTTCATGTTTGTTTCACTATAGGCACTTCGCCCGCCTTGTTCACCCATCTTCTTTGCAATTTTATTTAATTTTTATACTCATAACTCATAACTTACTTTCACTTATAAACTTGCTCCTCTTTTTGAACAAATAACAAAGTTAATGCGATTAGGCATGTATGAATTAAGTCTTCCCACTATATTTTTATGGAATTGAGACTGTTCTCGCTAGGGTACTTTCCACATATCTTTTAATTTTTAAGTTCTTTGCACGTTTTAGGTAAGTTCCGGTCTTCTTTATTTGACACTAAATGATTCATTTGGGTTTGAATCAGGGCTGTTCCAGGACAACAAAAGTATAGAAAGTACATTTCGTTTGAGAAACTCTCCTGTGCTTTCTTGCTTATGGCTACGTCATATATGCAAACCGTTTTTGAGGAATACTTCAGAATTAGCACACGGTCAGTATTTTCTGATAAACAAGAGAGTTCCTCAAACACATTGCATTTTCTACATTATCGCGGCTGGGAATCAATCTTGATTGAAATTCATACTAAAGCGATTCAAGGAAAATTTTGTGTGGAATACGAGTAATCTGGTAACAGCTAAACAACATGTGAAAGATACTTCCGCTTGAATGGTACTCTTTTAAAAAGCGTTCTAAAAATCTAGTTCTTAACATGCCTAATTGCATTTGAGATGTTATTCGTGCAAAGAGGGGGAGGGGGGGGGGGCAACTAACTGCTACAAAGTAAAATTTAAATTACTAGTATGAATATCAAAACTATAATAAAATTATTCAATTCATTATATGTTTTCTTAATGCCTGTGCTTAGTACCAATTTATTTATTTCCAATCTGTGCATTTAACAAGTTCACTAGAGCCTGTTAGGTTAAAAAAAATGAGCCGTATGAAGTCAAATTCATTGGAATTACAGTGTATAAAAGTACAGAAGAAAACTACTCCTATTAATGAGTCTCCGTTTTAATAGTATTTTGAAGAATGCATAAATTTATAAAACAGTCAATTTTCCAGATTAATTTCAAAATTTGGCCTCTGCTTGAAGAGTCAAGTCGAAATTTCCTCTGGTACCAACTGTTCCGAGATAAAGTTAAGATCTGTTCTTCTGAAAATGCAAAGCAAAATAGAGATGTTAACAAGAGCGTCTATCTCCGAGTGTAAGTATTAAAATTTAACTAAGAAAATCAGAATATATATATATATATATATATATATATATATATATATATATATATATATATATATATATATATATATATATATATATATATATATATATATATATATATATGTGTGTGTGTGTGTGTGTGTGTGTGTGTGTGTGTGTGTGTGTGTGTGTTTGTAAACCCTGTCAATTGGACACGTGCTTTAGACGGCACACGTTTAAATGAACACGGAAAAATCCAAATGAACACGAAATGGTGGTGTTCAGTTGGATTTTGTCATAAATCAACTAGAAAATGTCCTTGGATGCATCCCATTTCAAAAAAATGAAGTGTTAATTTGACCGGATGCATGAGATCTGTGTAATGAGTGTGTATAAGATGACCACCGATCCATCATTTTTTCTTCTCGGCGAGACTTACACACATTACGAGTGCGCATGCTCGTTACATCAAATGACGTCGTAAATGACATCATAATACAGTACCCGTTTCACACTTAGTCATGTACATGAGGACGAAGTAAACTTTGTAAAAGGTAAGTACAAAATCTGTAAATAAATAAATTTTATGTACATGTATTAAATATGGCCTATGAATAAATGAGTAAAGATATGTGTCCATTATGACATTACGGCATTATTGTTTACTCAATAATTTTCCTACGATATGTATACATGTATATGCTGTAAAGTTGCAATGTGCATCGTTGCATGATTGCAGTATAAATGGTTAAAACCATTAAACTAAAAGTTATTATTATTAATGTTAGTGAAAACATAAAGAAATCTTCTCTATATCTATGTCTCTGGGAAGGGAGACACATTCCGTATTGGCATATGTTGTACTCGCGGAGAGAAACTATTTCTGCACGTACGTGCATCTAATATTTCGATTTTATTGAATCAACGTTGATCTTTTGAAATGTGTAGCAAAATATATTGTCAGAAATTTTAAATGTTTTCTTGCGTTTCGCGTCTTGTTTATGTGTCATGTCAAGTTCGAAGGTTTCATATTAAAAACGAAAGTAGAGTCGGTCACAACATGTGTTACGGGCCGGGGAAACGTTCAGTCTGCCTGGGTTATATATAGGTACGTGGGCTGCTAAATTCATTGTTAATATTGTGTACATATTAAGCTGTCAACTAAAAAAACACATGTACAACTGAGGCGTAAATATTAGAAATAATTTAAATGATGAAAGGGGGGGGGGTAGCTGTTTGCTTCTCCCAGGGACATAGATATAATTGTTAAGCATGTTTAGGTCCCTGCTTCAACGTGGTCTTCTAGCCCTGGCAACCTGAGGGTATAGTGCAGCTATATAAGTTGATATTAATGTCAAAGACATGCTACATACATTTAGACAGTGCCATGCCCTAATTTTAAAGTACAAAGTTTTCGAAGTATGTGAATTTAAAGATTGATACTTGTCATTTTATTGTTATGCACTCATTATTGCATTGGGACAGTTTTGAGAGAAATATGTATATATAGCTGTGATGATTCATGAAAATGATGCGACTTCTACTAAGTTACAGGAATTAAAGAATATATTTTCCTATTTAATTATTTATCATGAAATTTATGTTTTAAAACTGCATAATATTATAACACATTTCAGGTAGATTCATTGGTTTCGGATCAGAAATTATCAATGTTCATGGATTCTCAGAACACAGCAGAGAGAAGTTTATGGTATGAATGCAATTATATAATATTCATTTAATAGTGAAAAGCTACATGTCAGGAAAAAAACAAAACTACATGAAGTTCTGATGATCGGAGTTCATGATGATGTGTTTGTGTATCAACATGATCTGTATATGTTTTCCTGCATTATTTCAATATACTACAGTCGTGAATCAGTGTTTTACATATTTATTTACCTTAATGACAGTCTGTTGGCCCAAGACCGGCAAATATTTGGGAGGATCAATAAATTTAAAATTAAGTCCGTATGTTATCAGCTAATTGTGCCAGTATAAAAAAAAATTAAAGGTTCAGTTTAAAAGACAAAGAACTTATGATACATGTACATGTAGTCCAGATAAAAAGTAAAATAAAATTATTTAAATGGGATTAAAAAAAAAGATGTTTGCAACTGACAGTCATACTGATAATTTTCATTATTTAGCTATTTTCCATAATAAACAGGACAGATAATTAATACTACACCATTGGTCATTGTTGTCATCAGGGCATTCCATATGTAATGTGTTAATATATTAGACAAATACAAACTACTATAAATTCTCTTTTATGGTGTACACACTTCTATTTTCAGAAAAAAACAAAAAACAAAGAAGGAGGGGTACACACTATACATGTATTTATTGGGGTATAATGCAACCACTGAAATTCAAAATGAAGAGATTTTTTTTTTCCATTGAGGAATTTAAAAAGAAAAATTAATGAAAAGATTTTCCAACTGCAGAGAATACAATTATGTTATTATACAGTTAAAGTATATCATTGAGGGAGGGAGCAAGATTCCAGTTCCCCAAGGCCAGGGCTATACAGTGTATATATATACACACAATATATGCGTTTAAAGCAGAAATATTCCTTTATTTTGTCATTTGTTCGTTGTTAATCCCACATGAAATTTTACATTTCAATATAATGAGTAGGGTTACATTCATAACAATGATATTTAATGCCTACAAAACCTTCTCAGATAACATAACAAATAACAAAATTTTATCCCCACGAAAATTTGTGCTTCTACAGTACATGTATATAATCAACACCTTAATGCGAGTAAAACTTACAGTAGATGCAAAAATAGTATTTTTAAGTGCAGTGACTGGAAAAGCACAGTAAATTCAGACCAAACTCAAGTTAAATCATTATTTAGTGTCTAAGGAACAAGTTGTTTGTAAGTGTATTAAAAATACTAAATAAGACAATAAAAGACATTTTGACAGTACAACAAAAAATATAAGGGGCCTCATAATCTTTTAGAGGCCGGACTCTATTAATTAATGTTTGATATCGATTGACTGGCAGACGCTGTAAACCTGAGTGATCAATTATGTTAAGAGAAGTTTGTTAATAAAGAGTATCTGTTACAATGTACCACTTAACCAGATTATTAAAATTTAATTTAAAAGGAAAACATTTTGTTGATAGTGAACAAGTCGGTGTGCCAAGAATATTACAAATGTATATGTAATTTCAAATGAGCAAGAAATGTTATAATCTGTGTATTATAATTACTTAGATTGCATAAATTAAGCTCTCTGTATATATTTTTTGATGGAATTAGAAGAAATCTGAAAGATTGTAACCCCCCCCCTTCTCAATTTTTTACCCTCCATGATTATTTTAATTTCAGTTTTCTCATACAAATCAATTACACTCTAGTATATACTGCACACCAAAGAGCTCTGATTTTATGGTATTTTTATGGAGATAGAGACTAATTCGCCCTGGGGTCTAAATCAAATTTAATAAATTGAAAACCTAGCAGTCTGTTACTGAATTTTAGTTAATACAAGCATTCTTAACAATTGAATGAGAAAATCATATTGTATAAAGGTATAAATAATGAGCTTATCAGATCTACTTCATTTTCTTGAATTTCAACATGTTCAACATAGGGTACATGGCATATTTACACCCTAAGAAAAATATTCTCAGACATTAAAGTATTGATGAACAGAAATCTCTACACATTGTTTACTTGAGTGAGAAAACACATGCAAATAAAGTGTTCAATTTATTTATCTTGGACTAAAAACATTTTTGATTTAGTGTATAGAGGGTCCTTAACAGTCCTTTAATTGTCTTTATTCTAATCGGGATCGGTATTCAACTTAACGTTCACTTTCATTTTAATCATGCGAATGTGATTTTGACAGCTGACAAGAATATGTATTATCTGGTTGTGAAGCTTTGATGAGGGTGTACAGTATGAGATATGTACATTTAATGTCGTCTTCACAAGGAGGGTTTAATTCGAATTAAACGTAAGCTAATACAGATTAAATTTGAACCACATTCACATGGACAATTTAATGTGAATAAGTTAATTCAAATTAATTTACTACGCATCAAATTTCTTTGCATTAAGGCCATGTGAACACTAAGGAAAGCTATAATTAGAAATAAATTTTGATGCATGCGTAATAGCACAATTAAGCCACATGCCATATGTTGCTCAGGTCAGATACATTATTTACATGATTAAATACAATGAAACTCCTCAATGTTTGGAAATATATGATTTTTTTTAATATGATGACCTAGCTGAAGTTGAAAATACAGTGCTACCTTGGTATATTGCCCTCTGTTATATTGCCACCCTCGCTTATTGCCAAGAATTCTCGAAGAACGGATTTCCCCCTTTTGTTAATACACCCGTTATATTGCCACCCCCGCTTATTGCCATCCGCCACTGGTTTTGGGAACAAAAGGTCAAATTATATAAGGAAAACCCTTGAGAACAATGCCAATTACCTAGAGTGGGTCGGTAATTTGGACAACACACCCGTACTTTGACAGTGGTTACGGTGAAGCGGAACGGGCTGGACAAGGAATTCAGCTAAATTAAAAATAATTGGTGAATAAAACTCAAAATTAGCAATGTCTTTGGCGTGTTTTTATAAGATAGAAGAATTATTTCATCACAGTAATGGAAACGTCAGGCAAGAGAAAGCGTACAAATTTGGATTACGAGAAAAAAAAATTGATTGATCAACATTCGATCTATTTGATTGCAAATCGCCGATTATTGCTTATCATGGATAATGCACCAAACCATAATAAATGCAAATATTCATTTGTGTCCCCTTAGATTAAGAAGCCATTCTATTGATCAAAAGGAAATCCCACCTCTATTTTTAGACTACTATAATTCCGCACGTGAAAATATTAAGGATTCTGTTACCCCTGAATTTTTCATAAATTGTTGGGCACAGATTGGGTTGATTGATAAATATCAAAACAGAATCGGAAGAGAAGTACACAGGTACCAGCAAACATAAGAATGCATGTTTATTACAACAGGTTGACGTACTCTGACGCGTGACTTGCCATTCGTCATGACACTTTACCAACCGAACTTTTTAACTGATTCAGAAATTCTTGAGACGGTGAAAAAAATCTACTTTCGATTCAGATGAGATTAATAATAATTCTCAAAACTTTTTTAATACCGAGAGGCTATAACGGCTACTGACATCTTTGTTATCAGGTTATTAAATTCTTAGAGCATGGCGAAAGAGCAGGGAATTGACAGGTGTTCAATATTCTGACATTTTGTTTCTTTTCAGTAAAAATATTGTAAACCAAAAAAATAATGACTTCTTTTTCAAAAAGAAACGAGAGCTTCCTTTATACTTATGTGCACGTATGACAGCATGACATTAACAGACTGTAACTGAAATGAATTACGTAAACTATTTATTTTGCTTTGATTACCCACTGAATTGTAATTTATGGCAGAATTCGTTATATTGCCGCCCTCGCTATAATGCCAAAATCTGCCTTGGACAAAAGCTGGCAATATACCGAGGTAGCACTGTACACTGTTTTATAAATAACTATATTTTGTATTTCCTGTCCTATATATACTAACGGTACATGATTAGATATATCATGTATAATGACATATTGATGATGCTTTATCAATGGACAGTAATTATTCATTTTTATTCCTACATTAACTTATTCAGGTGTAACCGGTCAACAGAGGATGCTTACTCCTCCTAGACACCTGATCCCACCTCTGGGATTTGCAGGGGGTCCTTGCTTTTGCCAGGCACTTCACAGATTTGTAATGTTTATAAATTTTTTGAGATTGATCACTATTCATTATATTTAATTTTTTTTTCATTCACATGTAATTATGTTTTTGAACTCAAAATTAAAGACACCACAGAGGCATATACATCTGTTTCATATTTGAATAATTTACTAGACAAAGACATTAATGGCAAGGTAACAATTAAATTTTATGATAAACACGTAACTTTAATTTTTCTATTATTAACTTCCCTTACTTATGTAGCATTATCACCTTCATATGGAGTTTATGACTCCCATTTGATTCAAAGGACAAGAGCATGTGTACCTAGTACAAACAATTACTAAAATGAGGCAAGCTATTGGCAAATAAGTTGATGATACAGGTTGAACATTTTGCAAATACGCGACTTCCGAGATACGTTTCCGACCCGATTTTTACATCACGCAAAAGTGAAATGTAGGGCATGTTTACTTCCGTTTTCATCGTAAACGATGGCGTCATTAGATACAGACTGCGATTACGACTATAATTTCAATTCTTGGCAAGTGCCTATGCTGAAAGACCTTTTATCCTTTAAAGGAATAGCTTTTTCAATATATTAAAATCATCATTTGATAAGACTTTGTGAACTGGGAGTTGAAATTCAGAAGTGGCAGATGATTAGGCCTACAGGGTGGTGATGTCAAACTTTGGAGATAAAGTTTTCCGAAATATAACAAGTGTTGATAGGTGGTCTGAAGATCTCATAAAACTGCCGAACATTGAGATTTCCGATGTTTTCATAAAACTTTTGAACGATGGCTGGAGTACGTTATTCTCGGTTGAAAACATAGACAGAGACAAGACAATGGATACAGACTAAAACAACCACGTTGATAAAGTGAAAGTGTCCCCCCTGTCTGATGATTTTCAGTACATCAAGTGTGACACAGTTCCTGAGACTAGCCAGATGCAGATCCGTACAAGACCTGGATATTTGTTGAGGGCAATGAACAGATTCACTCAGGTGGATGTAGTGTAAATATTCTGGTTTTCACATTATGACTACAGATTCTCCAGTAGAATTTAAAGCAATAATTATCAAAAATGTTATTTCATAAAGATATACTAATGCTTTTTGTTCATAAAAAAACATACACAGAGGGAGCCCTGTCTCAGCCTACAAGCATTTATGATTATGTAAATTGCTCAATACACTTCTCATGTCATGGAATTTCATATTCAATACTTCATCACTTTGAACAAAAGTTCTCTTGATTTTAGAGATGATGGGTCGTGTAAGCACTGTACAGCTTCGATATTTGCTGTGGCTTCATTCTGTGAGAGGCACAAAGACTGTCACACTCAAGTCGGAACAGATATTCCATGTGTTTGGGACAATTTTTTAAGCCTCGTGTCATCTCATCTTGTATTGGCCAATTACATAAAACTACAGGACTATACAGGAGAAGAACCTGAAGTTAGCGCTCACCATTCAATAAACAACCCATGCAAGTCCTTGAACAACAACCCTATTAAAGAAATTGAAGAAAAAAAATTGTTTCAACTCCTGTGTTTTTACACAAAATGTGGATTTTTCTGTGAGCAAATACATTATGATCCTTTGAAATTTGAGGAAATAGTACAAAAATGTGAATATCTCTTCGACAAACATTTGAAAGTTGCAATTATGTCTCTCTAAGTATAGCAGAGCAACAAATTTGTAAATGAGATAAGCATGTAATGCATAATAATTTATGGCATTCTTGATTATAACAGTGAGGAAAAACTTAAAACACTTTTGGTCTAAGGTACAGGATTCATTAATATTCATAATTTATTGATGGCAGAATACCTGAACTGATAAATATAAATTAGGAACAAACAATAAAATATTTCAATCATCATGATCATATGATTAAATTCTTTCATAAATAAATACAATATTTACATTACAGTTTGTATCAGACCTGGGGTAATGGTAATGCATTGTAATCATTACATTTTTTCAAAGTAATTGGATGTAATGTGTAATGGACTCATCTTTCAATTACAATTGTAATGTTTATGCATTAATTAAAAAAAAAATGTCAGTAATGACCATTGCCTTTCAATTACATTTTGGTTTTAAATCTCTCTTCATTATTGAATCTGAAACAAATAAAGGTCACTGAGAGGTTATTTTTTTTTTTATTTATAATGTTAAAGTCTTAAAATTAAAATCCTATATCTTACTTTAAAAAAAAAAAATGTTTATTCAGTGGTGATTGACAGACATACTACATGTAAATAATTGTTTTAATGGAAAACTTCTTGACAAGACAGTTATAAAATCAATTGAAGAAAGCCAGAATTGTTTTGAAAAAAAAAGAAGAAATCATTGGGTTTCAAAGAAGCCACAAAACAAGTGACATTAATACATTTATTTAAAAAAAAAACGGAGGAACTAACATCAGAGACTGAACAAAACTGCAACATTAAAAGTGTTCCGATCCACTTTCTTTGTCAACTGTAGATCATGGTAGATTGGTAAACTACATGGACATGATAAATGAATACAAAATCCAAATACCACTCTGACTTACAGACATGAGGGAAAGCATATCAACCAAGCACAAAGTGTGAAAAGTATAGATATAAATTGTGTGGTCATAAAATTTGTGTTTTTCTCTTATAAAATGTAATGTGTAATGTAATTCATTACTTAAACAAAGTAATTGTAATTTAATTAATTACTTTTCTAAATGAGGGTAATGGTAATTGTAATGGTAAAAATTTCGAAGTAATTGTAATTTAATGCATTACATTTAAAGTAATTGACCCCAGGTCTGGTATGTTTTAGATGCCTTTATGGAATGAACATTCAGATACATAAAAAAGATCTTATTCTTTTGATTTAATTTACATGTAAGCACTTGTTTCAGATGTCATATTATGTGCATAGCTACTATTCATGATCATAGAGCATTCATGAACACATCTTTGGATAGTACAATTACATGCATCATATATAGATCATTATTCGTTCGTCAAGTGGTGATACAAGAGGGAGTGATTCCAACAAGGCACTTTAATGTGTTATGGCTCTTATAGTTATTGTATGTTTGATGCTGTGCTCTAGGGGTACGTGGCCGCTGAACAAACATCTCTGTTCAGTCGACTACTCTGAACTCTTGTCCAAGGAAAAGCATTCTTGAATGAGTGTGGTATGAATTTCCTTATACTTGTGCTCTTGAAGGCCATTTAATTTGAGGTCCAAATACCTATATAAAATACAGTTACTTAGTAATACTTTTCAAAGTCAAAATACTAATATTCTGTGTGAATTATATTATTTGTGAATCTAAATAAATAAATATATATATATAATATATTTACCAATTACCAGTAATTAATTTATTTAAGGAAATAAACCATTTGTAATATAATAAAAAATTAAGATATATTCATAAAATATTAACAATATTTAGATTTTTATTTGAAACTTAGACAAATTAGTGAACTTGCAGTTTGAATCTAATATTTCTTAGTAACACACCCTATATATGAGATTAATCCATGTGCTAAATATTTGGTATACCTGACTCTCGGCTACCCCAAACAAGTTAGCAAGTAAAGAGGTGTTGACACCAAGTCAAATTCTAAGGAGTGTGATCAAGAATTCTTCGAATCTAGTCAGCTTCCTGGATGGCCCTGTTTTTTTTTTTACATTGACCCTTTTCACACTTCTTCTCTGTTGATGTAGAGGTATACATGTATATTCATAGCGGTTGTACTCGCATATGCATGCTGAGGTTTTTCAATGGAGGTGGTTTCTATTTTGGAATCTTGAAATTGTAGCGACTAAATAGGGTAGGGATAGGATTGTTTTCAGTGGGACAGCCATCTACAAAATGTAGGGAACAAACGGAGTGGTATCGTCTAGGGGAAAACTCCTCATCTCGAAAGACCTGCTGAGGCCGCTGCCTTCGTAATTTGAGTTTCCTCTTAAAATTGGACGCCTTGCATCCAAGGATAAGTGGCTCAACTGGCCTCCCGTCTGCTGCACACCCTGACAAAGAACACCAGTAGTGGCTGGGAGTATCTGTGTTCTTCCTTTTTTTCAGACGTCGAATAATTTCGTCTGCTCAATATTTCGTTGCGATGTAAACATTCGCCATTACAATGCCCTACATTTCCTTATTATCACGTGACTGCTGTGTGTAAAAGTCAGCCGTAAACCACGATTCCGGCGTATCTCGAAAGTTCCGTATTCTGTGTTTGATACAATGACCTTGTTAACAAATACAGTCTACTGTACAGATAAGTCAAATGTTTACTGATCGATGTTTTTCATACAGAAATTGTTAGGCCATTATTTTCATACTGAATTGTCTACAGATTAATCCATTTCACCCTATTATGACAAGGAGCGCACAGCAGGTGTAACTAGTTGACAGGGGATGCTTATTCCTCCATGACAACTCATCCCACCTCTGATGTTTTAGAGATCTATGTTTGCAATGCTCACAATTAGTAATGTTTCAATGCACCTTTGAGCTTAAATACTGTTTGTAATCTTGATATTTCATTAAAGGTCTGCAACATTCTAATAGATGGGAATCACTTTATCTTTTTAGTTATGAACATTTCTTATCAACAAACCCTGTAAGAAGAAGGACGTCTGTTCTACAGTTTGTGGTGGATCATAGAACACATGATATCAACCAAGTTTAAAGGAAGCATGTATAGCCACAATAGAAAAATTTAAGGATTGTGAGAAACCAAATATGACAAATCAGAATAAATTCCATGGGAGTGTGGAAAAAAAGAATAGTAGAGTGTAATCCTCAGGACTTTTTTCAGACTTCCATTAAGTCAGGAAATACTGTTGAACTGACAAAATTAACAAAAATCATGATTCTCAAAAATTCAAGGAAGATGTGCGAGTTAAGATGAAGACGGATTTTAGGAGTTTTGATGACAAAGAATCAACCATTGGAAATATGGCTCTTTGAACTTGGATCTCATTATTGGTTAGTGAATTAAACATTTATATCAATTATCTTGATTGTTAATGACCTAGCAATTTTAATTACTACCATTTAATTTTAACTAATTTTTACATGTACAGGGTTTTAAACTAACTCGTAATCCTTGATAGCCATGTGGGCTACTGAACCTCAATTCTGGGGCCCACATCAAAATTTATTCGCCCACAGATTATCACACCTTCTAATGAATATAAAAACAATAACCCCATTTTTCTTTTCTTTTTTATCATGTGTTTTGTGTTTCTTTTCTATCCATTGTAACATTATGCACAACTTATCTAAATTTGAAGTGGAACTCTTCTGTTTATGAAGATTGATATGATCATTCAATATCATATATAGAGCACATGGCACGTTTTCGTTCACAAATAACAACAGAACTCTATGGTTTCTTGGGCTTATTGACCCGTCGATGCCACATTGTGCCCGACACAATCACTTAGACGCTTTATGTATAAGTACTTCTTATGGGTAATCATAAAGCACTTTACTGATTATGAAATTTTTCAAGAGAAAAATACAAAACATTCGGACAAAATTGAAAAACAAATATTTATTATCGTAAATTTTCTAATCGCCATGTGGGCAACTTGAACATAATTTTAAGTCGCCCATATGGAACATTAGTCGCAAATTGCGAGTGGGTGACTGTTAATTTCAAACCCTGATGTAGCTTCTCACATTGATTTTTTTAAAAATACATGTACATATATTTTTAATTTTCGTGAAAGCTAATGGACAAGGTGCATGTATGACTTAACACCCCCTTCCCACCCTTTTTCCAGTTTTAGCTCACCTGATCTGAAAGTTCAAGTTAGATCACATATTGTCCAGTGTCTGTCCGTCCATCTGTAAACTTTTCACATATTTTCAACTTCTTCTCAAAAAGCACTGGGCCAATATTAAGCAAAGTTGGTACAAAGCATTCCTGGGTAAAGGGGATTCTAAATTTTAAAATGAAGGGCCAAGTTTCCTTCCAAGGGGAGATAATCAAGAAATGCAAAAATAGGGTGGGGCCATTGAAACATATTCTTTCAAGAAGCAATGAGCCAGAAAAGCTGAAACTTATATGTAAGCTTCCTGAGGTAGTGTAGATTGTAAATTATTCAAATCTTGCCCCCACGAGCTTGATGGGGCCACAAATTAGGGGATGAAAATTTTACAATGAAATATATAGGAAAAATCTTCAGATATCTTCTTCTCAAGAACCACTGTGGCAGAAAAGCTGATACTCATATAAATGCTTCCTAAGGAATATTAGATTATAAATTGTTTAGATCATGGTCCCCGGGAGTAGGGTGGGGCCACAATAGGGAATGGATGTTTTACATTGAAAATATTGTAGGAAAAACATCTTTAAAAATCTTCTTCTCAAGACCACTGGACTAGTAAAGATGAAATTTAGTTGAAAGCTTCCTGATCAAGGTAGTGTAGATTGTAAATTGTTCAAAACATGTCCCCTGGGGGTAGGGTAGGGCCACAATAGGGAATCAAAACTTTACATTGAAATATATAGGAAAAATTTTAAATATCTTCTTCTCAAGAAATACTGGACTAGAAAAGATGAAAATTAGGTGAAAGCTTTCTTAGGTAGTGTAGGTTTTAAATTTTTCAGATCATGGCCCCTGGGGGTAGGGTGGGGCCACAATAGGGATTACATTGGATAAATCTTTAAAATGCTTAATTCTTCTCAAGAACATTAAAGCCACGATGAAACATAATAATGTAAGAAGCATCCTCTGGTAGCGTAGATTCATTTTTTATTAAATGATGGCCCCTATATATAGGGTTGGGCCACAAAAGACGATCAAAATTTTACGTAGCCATTAGGAATACATGTATATTGGGGGGGAAATCTGTGGCAGAACAGCAGGGCCAAAGTGACTGATAGGTGAGTGTTGTTGCCCATGGGCCTCTTGTTTTGTTGTTAGCCCACTAGCTTTGCTTTGAGTCTAATCTCATAAATGCTTTCTCATTCAAAACTTACACAAAGTGTAGAGTAAATATTCATTTAATTAAAAGTAGGGATAAGTTTAAAAAGGCCAAAAAATTTAATCATGACTGTCACAATATTTTGACTTGTGTTTTATGATATATATTGATGCATATCACTTAATTTTTTTTTACTTTTGTTCCACGTGTTCTATAGAATATTAAAAAAAAATTCCTTGAAGTTTCCACTGTAAAATTGTTATTAATAAGAATAAATGTATTCTTCAATCATTATGATAAGGTTTGTTTATAAATATAATTTATCATGTTTATAGAATCAGTAATCATGGTAATTCAAAATTCTATATCTCAAAAAAAAAAAATTTACATTTTGTAAAGTACATTGAAGTCGTACTTAAATTAAGATGACTTGAATTCTTTTCTGATTTTTAAATTGACAACCAAAAAAGTAAAGATAATTAAGATTGCCTTTAACTGGTAACCAACTTCAGTTGAAAGTTATCTCCATATACTGGTCCATGTATAACAAACACCCCTAATTAAGAGACTATGTGCGACAAATAAGGACATATAAATTTTATGAATTTATAATTGCAATAAAATCATGAGATATTTTTAGATTATGATAAAATCTGTTGAAAGCAAATGTGTCAGTTAACATGGTTAATCATGTTAATTATGTAAGTTTAACTGATAAGAGGGATAAGTTGAAGACACTAAGTCATGTAAGTTGACAACATATTTATTAAAAAATGGTGAATGAATTTTAGCAATGGACAGGCTTTCTACAGCACAGTGTGTATATACCGTATATACTCGCCTATAAGTCGGTTTTTTGGGAGTTGTAATTTGGACCAAAACTCTTTGTCCGACTTATAGGCGAGTTATAAAAAGACTGATATTTTAGATGGTCAACATGGTCAATCCCTCTAATAAAAGCTTAAAAAATACAACCGACTTATACATGTTATATGCAAACCGACTTATAGGCGAGTATATACGGTAATATATATATATTTATTTATTATATGATTGAATAATTCCCATCTCTCTGATTGGCTGAGATCCAACAATGTTAGAAAAATACACATGTACTATGTTATATTGACCTGCACGTGACCTTTCAGGTCAATATAAGGAATTATTTATTCTACATTTGACCAAAAATAGATAGGGAAATTCCAAATTGATGCAAATAGTTTTGGAAAGTTATTTCACTTGTTCCTGACTTCCACTCATATGAACATAACATTAAAGGCACATAGATTCTTGGGTGAGGGGTGGGAGTGGGGGGTTGCAGGAGGACTGCCCCTCTCTCCCCACCTTTTGAGAATGTAAAGTTTTATTTTAAATTTTAAGTATAAAAAATTTCAATGAAAGCCCCACTCCCCTCGTTTATGGATCTTTATATCCCACTAAATAAAATTTTGAGTTGGGAGAATTCTTTTCCTTTTTTTTTTTTTGGGGGGGGGGGGGGGCTAGTCAAAAGTTTGTTTTCAGGTAAGTTGTCATTTTTTTTTTCCCTTCTAATGCCCCCATTTTCAAAATCAATCCTATATATGTGCCTGACATTTATTTCCTCTACATTGACCCTAAACTAGAATTAAAAATTCCAAAATACATGTGATAAAACTGGTTGTTTTTTAACCCTGTTTCTCTCATTATGTTCGGCTAGTACTTCAATAGATGTGAACAAGTAAGATGGCATGGATTGCTTAATGAGTGTGTGTCATTTAATCATATAATAAAACAATTATTGCTGTTTTTTCGGTCAATACGATGATTTAGCCACCTTCGAAGTACAATATTCACCTCGCCCTTCGGGCTCGGTGAATACTGTACTCTTCAGGTGTCTAAATCATCGTATTGACCTCAAAAACCAGCAATAATTGTATAATATTTAATGTATATATGTACAGCTAATATTTGTATGTTAAGACTTCCTATACACAATATTTTTTTAATTCAAAAGCCCCTGCAACCTACACATCGAATAATTATTTTCTTCAAATTTAATCTGCCATAGCAAGAATGATTCGAGTGATGAAAAATATTTGCTAAAATGGATAGATTAAAATTTCTTATGTTTAAAAAATGTTTTCTCTACTCATTATTCATTAAAATTTTATGTAAATCTAGTTTTAAATTTTATAATTCTGTTTGGATCACCAAATGAAAGAATATCACTTTTTAAAAAAAAAAAAAAAAATCTCAATCCAAAAAAGAAGGGTCTTTTAATATGTTTAACATTTGAGAGGGTGTAAACTTCTTATTTTAATAGTCCCATGTCGTTGAAACTGGAGAGGACTATAGATTTTCTCCTTGACTGTCTGTCAGCCTGTCCCATTTGGTTTTCCACACTTTTTGTTTTATTAAAACCGTGCTCTGAAAAGTGGGATTTTCCTTTTAATTTATTTAGTTAGCATGTTCTATTATGACACATCAGTCTGTCTGTCAGTCTTTATCACTTGGTTTTCTGGATTTTTTTTTCTAAACTATGGGCATTGGTGGCATATTTCTGCCCCCTACATGCAAGATAAATTATGTTTACATGCAACATAATTATGTAGATATGCGACTTATTTATGCCAACATGCAAAATAATTATGTTACATGCGAGTTACCAACTTCTCAAGAGAATCTAATTTTAAACTTTACTTATGCACGCCATTATATGACATCATACAAGCAAGATGTAACAGAATTATGTTGACATGCGACTTATTTATGTTAACATGCAAGATAATTATGTAGACATGCAACTTATTTATGTCAACATGCAAGATAATTAATGTTAACATGCAACTTATTTATGTAAACATGATAACAAGATACAAGATAATTATGTTGACATGCGAGTTAATTTATTATTTCAATATGTGAGATATGTTTGTTGACATGCAACTTATTATCTTGCATGCATATGTTGACATAATTATTTTGCATGTTTAAATATAACTTGCATGTTGACATAAATAAGTTGCATGTTGACATGAATAAGTCACATGTTGACATAAATAAGTTGCATGTTAACATAATCATCTTGCATGTAAAAAATAACTCGCATGTTGACATAAATAAGTCGCATGTTGAAAAATATAAGCTGCATGTTAACATTATTATCTTGCATGTTGAGATAAATAAGTTGCATATCTACATAATTATCTTGAATGTTGACATAAATAAGTCGCATGTCTACATATTTATCTCGCATGTTAAAATAATTATTTTGCATGTTGACATAGATAAATCGCATGTCTACATAATTATGTTTCATGTTAACATAATTTATCTTGCATGTAGGGGGCAGAAATATGCCACCATACTAAACACTCGCAGATACAGTGTACATGTGTATTTAGCTGATTTTTAGTACATGTGTGTGTACCTTGATAATTAAGTTACAGATCAAGTTTGCATTTCATTCCACTTTGTTGATTTTTGACAGAATTATAGCCTTTCTTATTTTTAAGGGGAACCAGATTACATGTACACTTGCGAATACAGTGTAATTCCAAATTCAAATAATACTCTGTTTTATATATATATATATATATATGCAGGAAGGATTTGATGATTTGAAGTGTTTTTTTTTAAACATGCATGATTAAATGATCATTTAAATTTAATTTCAATATAGATGCATGCATGATGGTGGGCTGAAGAAGAAAACCAGGACAAAAGAAAATTCCTAGTGTTCATCAGAAAAAATAATCTTGCAGCCATTTTGAGTGCTTGAATGTCCAACTGAGAGAGCCAGCCAGTTCGAAAAATATTTCTTGGAAGTTAAACAAATTCTGCTGTGACAATTGAAGTACATTTAAAAACATTCTGATTCATCTATAAGTGAGACTAGATTGCCTTTGACAGTTGCCAGTGGAATTCAGATCTTCTAAATTGTACCAGTATTAATAAATTGAAGTGAATTGCCTTAAAAATAACATTTGTATATGGTGTACATTACTTTAAGAAGATATAGCACACCTGTTTAAACAGTGAGGTCCATAGCTAAACATGGATATGGAATTTAGCTCACCTGATCCAAAGGCTCAATTGCACAATTCTGATAAAAAGAAGTCTCTGGTATCCAACAATGCAACATTTATGTTTGACTGTTTGTCCTCCATTAACTTTTAACATTTTCTTTTTTTTTAACATTTGGTCAATGTAAACCACATTTGGTACAATGTATCTCTGCTTAAAAGGAATAAAGCTTATTCAAATAAAGGTGCTGCATCCTTTTTCAAGGGGAGATAATGAAGAAATATGAAAAATGGAATAATGTCATTAAAAATCTTTCATTTTAAGGTATTCAATGTATAATGAAGGAATATTGAGCAATCTTGAATTATTTTAAATAGTTAAATATGTATTGCTAGATATTAATGATGAAAGTAAAATGAACCAAATTCACATGACTGATAACATATTAAAAACTGCATGACCATTTTGCACCGTAAACATTTTCAAGAGTTATCTGCACCCTTGATGCAAAGAAGAAAATTTAAATTTTGTCAATATATCTGTGGTAGATGACTTATTTTATTTCATATTTCAATAAAGAGAGAGTTTATGCATATTTTCACAAGAGATTTGTATGAGGTTCAAATTACCTTTTTGAATATCTAAACAAAACATGCGCTGCCCATAGACTTCAATATAATATTCAAGGTGCAATTAATTGGACAATAATCAAAATTTTGTAAATTCCTTTGGTGGTGTACTTTTATTTGATAACATCTTCAAAATGATAATTTGATTAAAAACACTGGACCATTCATTTATTAGGTACAGAATATGGTCATTATACATTGAATACCTTAAGAACAACTTGATCATATAAGACAATTGTTATCCAAGAGTTTTCTTAATGAGCATAGATTCAAGTTTTTTTCATTGCCCATAAGGCAAGGATAGAGCTGCAGAGGGGTTAAAAGTTTTGCATGAAAATATGTATAAGTGAAAATTAGCAGGGTGACATAAAGCAAATTCATATGCCAACATTACAACATCATATAGATTTATTTTTTTCAAATTATAAACATTGGGGTTAGGAAAGGGCTAAAAGTAGGGTTTTCATTTTGCATGTATCTAAGTGTCAATATTTAATTTTGTTTAAATTATGGACATTTGGATTAGAAAAGGACTTAAAAATTAGGGGTTAAATTTTACATGTATACAGGTGTCAACATTTTTCATGGGAATATGGAGGGGAAAAATCTTTAAAAATAATCTCTTTAAGAGCAATAGACACAAAATGACTCAGGCAAGCATTTTGGCTTTGGCATCTTCAGGGTATTGGATTTCATTCTTATAATTTTAGGAACATAAAAGTACACCCTATTCTGAAGAAACACAGCGAGTTTGATTTTTTTAAAATAATAAATGATTTTAATGGAAAAAGATGAATTAAGCCTATAGTCATAAAGGTCCAGTTTTCCCTTTGAAGTTTTTATAAGGGGTTTTACCTATTTGATAAGTAATTTGAATTTGTACTTGGTTGTACATGACACACATCTCTATCTATGTAACAGTATATTATATGCAAATATTGTTCAGAATTAGTTGCCTTATTAATGAAATTATTTGTTAAGATTAAAGTGGGCCTTCTGGTCAGGTGGTTTTAGATTTTGCAATCACTTTTTCATCTTTTTTTTTTTAAATCAAATTTGAAAATATGTAAAGAGATAATGGCTTTATTCACTATTTATATTTCAAATCTCAGTCTATTGTATTATTTGATCCACTAGCCTAGCCCGTATTCTTTAATGTGTTAAAATATTCTCATTACATAAATGAATTAATTAAGTAAATTCGTATTCATTTTATCAAATATATATGTATGTTTGATTGTGTCGGTCAAAAGTTTTTTAGAACTTGTAACCAAGCTTAAAAAATTCTTTGTTTGCATATGCAATATCCGGTAACAATATCCGGTAACATGCCTCAAATTTTGACCAAAATTAGCCACACTCTCCCTGCTACCGTCCTACGTTCAACAAAGGAATAAGTGAAAATGTTATGCACCCCCTCCCCGCTCCACGTTTCGGGTACTTATATGAGAATCCTCCCCCTTTTTCATAATTCCCGTTTTGCATGATATTGATGGAAGGGGTTAAGAAAAATAATATATTATTTAATAAGGTTGGATACAGGTGTGATTGAATCAGGGCTTTGGAGTACACCCCATTAAAGAAATTTTGGAAATACTTAAGAAACCAATTCTTCTTGATTATTTCTTTCTTCTGTGGAGAGCACATTGCGGAGTTCATAAATCCACAAAACCTCTTTTCACTAAATTCAATTTTTATGCTACATGCAGGAGTTGAAGTGTCTTGATTTTATTCCCTATTAATAATTCATTATTTATTTATTCAAAATGAAAATTAAAAATTAAGCGCGAGTTTCAGTGCCACCCCCTCCCCCCCCCCCCCGCCCCCTCAAAAAAAAAAAAAAAAAAAAAAAAAAAAACATAAAGTTCAACGAATGAACGCATTATCTGAAGACTGGGTATTAAATTGTTGTCCTTCCTCTTTGACAATGTGTTCTATAGAATGCATTCATCAAGATCATAACCCAGTGGTATCTAAGAAATTTTATCGATGTAGATAACCACTACAACGTTGAGTAGTGCAGTTTTAATGTGTACAAGTAATAGCTTTTCAAAAAGCTTGCCTGACTAATCAATCAATATCTATGGAACGTATATGCAAGATTTTTCCGTCATCAAGGAGTGACATAGTTGCGATACTTCATTACACAAGATGTACAACTGACTTTCTCAAATGTCATAACCAAATACTACAGATTAACGAATATCTAAGACATGCCACTATTTGGTCATTTATTAGTTAGTCCACGGGCTGACTATAGTTACGTTGGGATGAATCTGCAAGTGCGCTAGCGTAGATTATAATCAAAGGCGGATCCAGCGCCGGCGCGCCTGGCGTGCACCCTCCCCCCCCCCCCAACGCCCGTTTGAATTTTTTGTATGTAGAACTTATATGTTCATTATGCTAAAATCAAGGAAAAAACACCTCTTATTTGTAAGAATTCGTCAGCTTCCGGGAGCTTCGCCCCCGAACCCCCATCAGGGCTTTGCCCTGGACCCACTGGGGTTTCAATACAGCCCCCAGACCCCCTGTCTTCTACTGCGCCCTCCCGTTATGAAATTCCTGGATCCGCCACTGATAATTCTGCGAAAAATAGATGATTCTTAAGAAATTCATATTACATGTACTCTCTTACTAGAAGTAAATTATGAACAGTTTTAACTGGGAAAGTTGTCTTGAAGTGTTTGAGACAAACATGCTTCAATGCTGCTCTAGAAATCAAACTAAATGACCTGTACACTTTATAGCTAGCACAAAACAAGATACTAATAACACCCCCCCCCCCCCCGGACAAAACTCAGGCGATGATGGTCTTACCATATACGTGTACATGTATTATAAATGAGTTTTTCTTTTCAACCGATTTCAGGACCTTTCTCATAATTATAATAACCTGCTTTTTATGAAATGAAAACCAGTGCAGATCATGATGTCGTGGAGTGAAGCCCATTCCTCTAAGGGCACTGACCTACACTCTTGTCACTGTATTAAAAGGAAATCCTTGTTCATCACAAAGCATGAAATAATATGCTACTCGCTGACTTTCTAAGCTTTCTTAAAAACCTAACCTTGTAACGTACATTATTAATAAATGATATACTTAAAAGAAAGGCTAGGTGGAAAACAGACTGAATCAAGAAGGGATGTCCCATTTACTAGGTGGAGGGAGTTTGTTTATGATTAGACTAGTCCACTTAAAGGATAAATAGTAAGAATAATCAGCAAATCCATTGCTTTAGTGTTGCCTGTCCATATACAATGTGTTCTCTTAAAAACATGAGATAAAATTTACTGTTAATAAAAAATTTGGAGCTTAAGAATCGTGTTAAAAGAATGAACATTACTTATTTCCATAGAAGTTATCACACCCATTCAATAGAACAACCCAAGAAAAAGGTGCGAAGATAATTTACGTGACATTTGGCGCGAAATGATTGTGTCACCCCTTTCGTAGATGGCAAACGGACTGATCCAGTAGTTTAGAAACGCAGAAAAAATGTTATACGGACATGTCCGTACAAAGAAACGCAAAGAATAAACATGTGCATGCAAAAAACTGAAGGGTTTAAACACATCATTATTTTGCATCAGTTATATGATTCTTTCTCCTGCAAACTGTAATTGTTTAAATGCAGGTAACAAATTCCGATGTAAATCAGCTTGCACAAAATCTAGTTCATTAAGAATGATCGCTTAGTTTCGGATCCCTGAAATATTAATCCTTATACTGCCTGATGCACGTGGCGTCGGGCAATCATGGTGTTATACCTATAATATATGTATCAGAATCGTATTGCATTTTTGAACTTCACAGGAATTCTGTTTTTTTTTGTGAGCATGGCAACACCATTCACTGAAATAAAAAAGTGAAACAAAGAACTGAGTGTATCTTAGCGTACTCTACTTGTATTCCAAGTTTTATTTAAATCGGGCAAAACTGTAAGAGGAGAAGCAATTTGAAAAAATACAAGTAGATCAGACAGTGGAAAGTCCAGACTTACAAATGACGGACACTACCATTGCATAAGATCTTTCTATCACATAAAATCGAAAAGTAGAGCTTAAAACTAATTAATGCATCCTTTGTTTTGATAGCATCAGTCACTTCTCTTTAAAGGAAGTATTACTTCTCAATTTATTTGTATTTCTGGGAAGTTCTGTTTTCAGTTTTACTGGATTTTAATATTCAGGAAAAAACTGCTCGCCCGGAGACGTAAAACAAAGCATTAATTTACTGTGGCCTTATGAAGTGAGCTTGTTAGTCCAGTAGCGTTGTCCTATATAATTACTATAGATTTTAGCAAGAGTGAGTATTTGAGGGCCCTGAAATACAACATCGTTACTTTGGTGTATTATACTTTCATGTAAATTACTGGAATTTGATTCGTGGAGAAACATTTGTTAAAAAACACCGTTATCCTCTGAATGATGAAACTGCGCCTTCCAGATAGAATTTAACAACAATCTAATTGCTTGAGGACAGAAGATATCATCCCCCCCCCCCCCCCCCACACACACACACACAAAGACCGCCAGGA